TGCATAGAATTTTCTTTCAGATGAATTTTCGAATTATTATTTGATATAATTTCCATATAACCGATTTTTCACACTGCAGAATTTTTACTTAACCGAAAAATTATTTAACAGAATTTCTAATTGATAGAATTTTAATTTCTCCGAGTTTACAAATGACCGAACAAACAATCGACGGAAAGATTTCGACGCGATTTTTAAAATCAACCAATCAAAAATTATCAATAAAATTGCGATTGGTTGATTTGAAAAATCGCGCCGAAATCTTTCTGTCGATTGTTTGTTCGGTCATATGCAATTTCGGAGAAATAGAAATTCTATCAATTAGAAATTCTGTTAAATGATTTTTTGGTTAAGTAAAAATTCTGTGGTATGAAAAATCGGTTATATGAAAATTATATCAAATAATAATTCGAACAAATAAAAAATCTATGTAGTGAATTTTGGATTATATAAAAATTCTGTAATATATAAAATCGGTTTGATGAAAATTCTGCAAAATACTAATTCGAACAAATGAAAATTCGGCTTAAAAATAATTATGACAAATGAAATTACATAATATGAAAATTCTAACTCATGATTTTTAGAACATAATCATATGCGTCCCTTTTAATAATATAGGTCTATTAGTTATTTATGTTTTAATAATTTAATTATTAAATTTTACAATTTATTAATAATTGTAATATTGTTTTTTTTAATGATTTCGTCTTAATATAAAGTGTGATAATAAATTTTGAATTAAGTTTGTACATAATAATCAATTAAATGTTATAATTATTCTGGAATTAAGTTTTTTCTGACCTGACATACACATACATATATATATATAAACAATTTACGGCATTTCATTTGAAGTGAAAAACATTTAAATTTGTGCTCGTAAAAGTGTGATAATATAATAAATTTCAAGAGGCTTTTAAAAGTTACAATAATTATTATTGTAATTATTACACAACGCATGGACCACAATTTCTTGATTTTGTTAAAATTTCGTACTCAATTATTTTTTTACATGTATATATACGTACTTAATGTGCTAAATAAAAGAAAATAAAAAAAATTAGTACAATGCAGAAAATAAGATTTAAATTTAAATTTGTAAAAATTGGGCTACTAATTATAAACTGATGAATTAAAATTAAATTTTAATAGAAAGCGTAACCATTAAAATAAAACGACAATAAAAATATGTCTAGACTTGGATGAAAAATTTTTCAATTTCTTGTATTTTAGTTACGTGCTTACTGCTTAGAGCTACAATATACATAAAACCACTTCCGCCTACACTGTTCAACATTTTATTTTTTTTTTCTTTATCGAAAGAAAACAGTTCATTTCATTTGTTTTTTTTACTAATTGTAAATCCGGATATATAATAGTTTTATTAGATTTATGTGGGGAATTTTTTTTCTTGCCAATAAAATAAAAGAGAAAGAAAATTGTCAAAATAATACAAAAAAGGTGATAAAAATGCTTTTGTAAATTTATTTTTTAAATAATATTTCAAGTGATCTGTATATATATATAATGATGTTTGAGCGTCTAATTAATTAAGCTTTAAACACCTATCGCAATATTTAATTGGTTTTCTCTATTAATGCATTATATAAAGGATTTTCCGTATTTTTCTTATATTCAACTACTGGTATTTGATATATATGTATATATAGTTGGTAGCAAATACGTTTTAGGTAAGTCGAGTTTCTTTCGATGATTGCCGATCAATTTGTTTTGAATCCGTTCCGCCCAGTGCAGTGTCTAGTCATGCCAATCTGCTTTTGCAGACAAATATAGACTTGTCTGCAATGGTAAAGAAACATTTTTCTACTCAGTCGACTGTATAATTTATAAATACGTATAGCTTAAATTACTGTATGGGGTCTACTATTTTAAAATCTACAATTTCACATTAAAAAATAACTAGTCGAATATTATTTTTCCTAAAGATTGAGATTTTTACAGTTTTTTCAAATACTACTATGCCGGGAATCTTTTTTTGAAAATTTAATGCAGTACCATTTAAATTTAAAAAGAGAAAATTAATTGAATTTCTAGTATGAGTGTTTCGTAGTTTGTAAAACTGAATACAGAGGTCCGTAAGAAATACTAATATAGTATCCCCGAACGTTTCCGAAAGATGACGAATATAGTTTGAAGTTTTTCTCGAAATGTTGTAATTAGAAAGCAGACGATGTAGGAACTATTTTATAGGTTAGGTACAAATTTTTTTTATTTCACCTCTTTACTTAACTTTTTATTTAAAATAATACATTTTCTAATATACATCAATATCGAGTGGTCGTTAAGAATATAATTTAAATAAAGTAAAGAATAAAGGAAAATGTTCTTTTAAAGAAAAAGTTTTAAAAATTAATCTCGATTAGATTATTCATAATTTATTAATCACAACACTTGAAAATTTTTAATTATTTTTATGGTTCAAATGATATTATCAACAATTTAATAATTTAACTATAAATGAAAAAAAATTTAAACGTTGTCAATTAATTTAATATGCAATTAATAATTTCCTGTCACACAATATCTTAACAGCCAGATGACATTTGTAAACAAACATGGTTGGGAAGCAAGAAACCAAAATATGTTTGTCCACAAAGCAAAGAGTTGGGTAGTATTGAAATTTTGTCTAACTATAATTTTCGTAAAGTGGTTGGTTTCCATTTTCCCCACTCGCCATTCGTCAACTGCCGCATCCTGCTCTAGTGAAAATTTAGTATTTTGGTCAAGCAATCGGCTGGATTGGATTTTCACGGAGAATCACTGAATTTGATTGGCTCTAACAAAATTCAATTTTCTCAGTGAAAATATAATCGAGAATATAATATTTGTCAGAGTCAATCAAATTCAGTGATACAACCGTGAAAATATAATCTATCCGATTGCTTGATCAAAATACTGCAGGTGTAAAAGCACCTTAAATTTATTAAATTTTCACCAGAGCAAGGTGCGGTAGTTAAAGAAAATTATGACAAATAGCGAGTGGGAACTTTGGTTGGAGACAATGGAAACCAACCAAAGGCGTTTTCGGCAGATGCTCCAAGGAATACTCCGGAGCATTTTATGGTCTAATCTCCTATTAATTCCATTGGATCCAGTCAATCAAAAAATGCTCTAGAGCACTCCGGAGCATCTACCGAAAACGCCTCAAGTGTATTTAATTGTTTAGGCTATGTTTACAAAACGATAACGTTAAATATGTACACTTTTCTGTCCTTGTCTTACGCATGTGTTGTCATGGCAACACATGAGTTTGAAAAGGACAAAAAAGTGTAGGCATATCTGGGTTGGTTTCCATTGTCCCCATTCGCCATTTGTCATAATTCTCGTCAACTATCCCACCCTGCTCTAGTGAAAATTTAGTGATTTTATTGTTAAAAAAAGTAAAAGTAACACTCGTGGTTAGATATGCCTACACATTTTTGTCCTTTTCTAACTCATGTGTTGTCATGGCAACACGTGTGTTAGAAAACGACAAAAATGTGTAAGCATATATTAGGTTCTGTCACTTGTGACGTCAGAGTCGATTCTAGGTCAGAAGTCAGAGGCCTGGAGGGACAACAAACAGACGACACAATGTTATTCTTATGGAGAAGAAAATTAGTTTCCACTTTCATCAATTTTATTCATACTTTAAATATGGAAAACGCTTGTTGACATATAATAAAATTAAAATGTGTGTTGATAATTAATTTTGTTATATATTTGATTCAATTGCAATGATAGATTCTCTGAATTCGTGATAAAATATAAATTTTGAGGTTAGGGGTGTTTGTTTGCTAATCACATTTTACATTTTAACAACATTATTAAACAATATCCAGTATGCATGTTATTAAAAAAGATATAAAATATATATTTTAAGTGGGAATTACCGCAGTAGTAAAAGATTTCAAGTTAGTAAACAAACACCCCTAACCTCAAAATTTATATTTTATCACGAATTCAGAGAATCCATCAATGCAATTGAATCAAATATATAACAAAATTAATTATCAACACACATTTTAATTTTATTATATGTCAACAAGCGTTTTCCATGTTTAAAATATGAATAAAATTAATGAAAGTGGAAACAAATTTTCTTCTCCATAAGAATAACATTGTGTCGTCTGTTTGTTGTCCCTCCAGGCCTTTGACGTCATATATTAAACTCGAAATATCTCGATGAACTGACACAGCCTAATCTGACCACGAGTGTACTAAAAAGCCACTAAATCTTTACTAGAGCAAGGTGCGGTAGTTGACGGAAATTATAACAAATGGCGAGTTGGGACAATGGAAACCAACCCTGGCCACGAGTGTATTTTGGACTCTTGCTACCCAACCCTGTTTTTTTATGAATGTTATCTGGCAATTAAGATATTGTATGACAGGAAATTATTAATTGCATTAATTGACAATATTTAAATGCAATATTTTAATTTTTGTCATTTATAATTAATTATTAAATTGTTGATTATCATTTGAACCATAAAAATAATGAAAAATTTTCAAGTATTGTGATTAGGAACTGAAACTTAAATCTGCTGTGACGAATATAAATATAAAGGTTAGTGTATTTCACTTTGTCTAATTAAAATAAGTTACGAAAAAAAATTTTCGAGAATGAAACAAAGAAATTTTGAAAGTAAATTATAATTCATTTTTTCAGTTAGAAAACAAAAAAATTATAAATTGAAAAAGATTGATTTACAATCAATAACAAAATATATGACCAAATTATAAATTATATATCGATAATTAATTAGTAAATATAGACAGCAGCAACGAAGATTGATATGTGAGAGATTAATGCAAAGATTTGGAATAAATTTATGTATAAAGCCAGAGCAAATTGGGTCTGTACAATTTAGTTTAGGGGGATTTCCCCTTCTTTTGAATCAACACTCACGTATATAGTCCTCCCTCTTAGTCGCGCGCTAAGACTTACTTGACTTTTACTTTTACGGTTACTTTTGGGGGCTCACTTTTGCGTCCCACCCTATAAGACTCTCTTTCGATAAAGAACTATGTTCAAGTACAGGCGCTAAGATACGGGGGTCGACACTTTAAAAGAGTTTCATCAGTCGAATTCATATATATCTTGCGAGCAATATTTGTTTGAAAAGGACAAATATTTTTTTTTCTTCCAACTCTTGATTATGATTAACTATTTAAGCTACTATTGTGCGCGAGTGTTGTGTTAAATTTTAAAAATTTTATTTTTTAACTAAATATATATTTGTGTTTAATTGTAAATTAATTTAAATTAATAGAGATACGTGTTGCTAGTAACACTTTCGGAGAAAATGTTAAAACGGTGAGTAACAATTTTTTTTACTCATTTAAATATATTGAAAGACAATTTTTTTATTAATTATTATTATTATTATTATTATTATTATTATTATTATTATTATTATTATTATTTGTATCAAATAATTATTATTTGAGTCAATTAAATGGTATTTGTTTGAAATACAGAAATTCTAACATTGACTAGTTGCAATGTAATATTATTTTAAATATTCAGGTATTATTATTATTTAGTGTTAATTTATGTGTTTAATTTTGTGTATTTATTTATTTGGTGTTTTGTTTAATAAATTAGCCTGAAGAAGATGGTTAACTAAAACCATCGAAACGTCGCAACTTGACAAAATAACATAAATCTGTTATATGTGTTTTCTTTGCCTTCCATTGATCGAATTTTACTTCTTATCAAAATATACACTTGGAAGGGAATTTCTCATTCATATTTAAAATACAATTTATTTAATTAAAAATAAAAAATTATTTGGTTCAAGTAAATATTTATTTGATAATATTCAAGTAATAGAGTATTTGAATCAAATAAATTTTTTTTTTTTAGTGTAATAAATATTATATTAATTAATACAATTATCGTAAACAGATTATTAATTGTTATTGTTATTTAAAAAAAAAAATTATTTTAAAAACTTGTATGTAACAAACTAATTTTAATTATTGTTATTTTTGTTATTATTATTTTTCTTATTTTCTTCATATTTTTCTTATTGTTTTTATTGTTATTTTTATTGTTATTTTTACTATTATTTTTACTATTATTTTTACTATTATTTTTATTAGCTTTCTTATTGTTTTATTACTTTTATTGTTATTTTTACTATATTATTTTTATTAATATTATTATTTTAATAATTATTATCGGTATTAAATTTATTAAAAAATAAAAATTGCCAGCAATAAAAAGCAGTTAAATTCTCATTTATAAATAATAATTTTAATAGTTAAACATATTTAATATCAATTAAATTGTATAATCTATAATTGTATAATAAAAATGAACAAAATAAAAAACAGATCAAAGCAATTAATGAACAATTAAATTTAAACAATTAAGAAATAATGAAACTTAATATTCTTATGCAAAAAAAAAATATATATACATAAATTAAAAATATCTATTAAATGCGGAAATGAATGTTAATTTATAGTTTCTATTTTCTAAGCGGTAATAATATTGCGCGGGGACAACGCGAGAACATTGCGCGCGATAGTTGATTCGTTTATGCTTTCCAAGGGCTATTACGTAAAACTAGCAGGAATTTAGATCAAGTTTCATTAGGAGTGCAAGGGAATCCGACTTTAAAATTGGGTAACACTTATAATCTGCAAACATTAATTTTTTTTTCTTCATTAAAAATTAATGCATATATTATTTAATTTTTTTTTCATATCTGTTAATTAATATCATTAAATTATGGTAATGTATTATAAAAAAAAAAAAGAATTTTTTTTGCTAAATTTAAAATTATATTTTCAGTTACTTTCTTAATTGATTACGTTATTCATTATAATTAATTCGCACCTTTTTTTTTTTTTTTTTTTCTTATAAATGTTATTTATAATTATGTCATCTCGATTGAACTTGACACTTCTTTGGTTCGTTGTACGCGCAGAGTACAGGAATAAATTGAAGATTAATGTTCATTAAATTACCACACTTTTATAATATGTATAATATTTGTGTATTGAGTTTAAAAAGCGAAAGGTAGTAAATTAGAGGAACTGAATTAAAATTGTATGTAATAATTCGCATATTAAAAATAATAAAATAATAAAAAAAAGAATTCAAAAATAATTTAAAAATTCTATTAATATATGAAAAAAAAATTTCGAAAATTTTTAACTTTTATTAGAAGATTTATGAAAATTTCCCCCATTGAAATTGAAAAATTTAAAACGTCAAGGATAATTAGAAAATTTATAAAGAAAATTAAAAATTGTTTAATAATTTTATTTTTATAGAAAACAGAAAAAATGAAATGTTGTTAACAAATATAGGATTTGGAAAAAATATATATTTTTCAAAATGAAGATTTTTTTTTATTTCGCAAATTTTTTACTATACTTTTAATTAACCAAATTTTTTTTCACTTTATACTCTTCTCTTTAAATCTGAATTAGTTAAAAATAATTAATTGTTAATAGAATTTTGGCTCATTTTTCCTTTAACAATTAATAAAAAATAACTGACTATTAGTAAAAAAAGATAATTAATTGTTAATGGAAAAATAACTATAACTATCACTTTTTGCTTTAGAATTAATTAAATTTTACTAATTGTCAGTAAAAGTGAGTAAAATTAGTAATTTTACTAATTTTACTAATTGTTAGTAAAAGTTACTAATAATTATTAAAATTTTACTAATTTTAAAGCAAAAATTGAGTCACTAAATTAAATTAGTAAACATTTTTACTAATTCAGATTTAGAGAGTAAAAAAATAATTATTAGCAAAAAAAATAATTATTAGCAAAAAAAATAATTAATTTTTAGTGGAAAAATAAAATAGTAAAAATAATTATTCTAAAAAAAACTTAACTAACGAAATTATCAGGAATTTAAGTTACTTTAACATAACCTAAAAATACATTTAACTAATAATTAGTTATTTTTAACTAATTTAAATTTAGAGAGCTTGTAATAAATATTAATTACATTTTTTTTAAATATATGTATTATTTATATATCTATTAATATTAAAAATAAATTTCAAATAATTATTACTTATTCAAGTAAATATAAAAAAAAAATTGTTTGAAGATAGCAATTATAAGTACAGGTACAGCAAATATTATATATATAGTTATTAAAAAAAAGTTTTAAAAACATTTTATTGGAAAAATACATTTTATGCGTGCAACTTGAAAGATTTTTGAAAAAATTTATTGTGAAATGAATAGTTTAGCTCCACCTACAAAATTACTATTTATCCATATTAACTGACAATATTGTTTCTAATTTCTGGTTCTTTATAACCAGTTAATTTTATTCGCTATTTAAAATTTATCGCTGTTGTATAATTTTCACGTCTTATGTAATTACGTGTATATAATACAGTGTTAAAAATTTAAACAAATTTCTATGTGAAATATTAGTCATTTAGAAAATCATTTTGCTTCTACGTTATACGTGGGGCATTCCACGTGAGATTTTCATTCAATTTTTTTTTACTGAAACACTTTTTTTTTTTTTTTTAATTTTTATGAAAAATAAAACAATACTGCAAAAAGCACCATGAAGAATGTTTCTTTGATATATGGTCGAAGAAAAGTTTTCTTTAATTTAAAGAAATACCTTCGTTTTTTATTCCAAACAAAATTTTATTTAAAACAAAAAAATGTTTTCTTTAAATCAAAAAAAAAATTTCTTTAAATTAAAGAAAACATTTCTTTGACTCTATATTAAAGAAATACTTTTTTAAATTAAAGAAATAGTTTTCTGTGTTTACTTTTGCATAAACTGGAAAAAGTTCCTTATTTATTAGAGACTAGATTAAAAAAAATTTCAAAAATCAGATCACTTCGGTTTTAGGGAAAAATAACTTTTTAGACTTAATTTTTAATTTTTTTGATTGCTTCTGTGGTAGTTACGTTATTTTTTACTATCCTATCAAAAATTAACTACTGGCGCAGGACCGACTTGGTACTGGTACCAATAGTTAATTCTGGTAATTTTTGGTAGGGTACATATTTAAAATATTAATGAAATTCCACATAAATTTCATATACAATATTACTTTTTATTTCCTAGTAAGACAAAGAAAAACGCATTTTAAATGTATTCGGCCTCTAACGACCTTAAATTTAAAAAAAATCATAACTTCCATGATTGTTATCCAAAATCCAAAAATAGGTATTTTCTGATTTTTAATAAAAATTCAGGAAAAAAATGTTGCAGTCAGAAAAAATTTTTAAATGGAAATTTCACGTGGAATGACCCAAAATGTAAAAAAAAATTTTTAAATTCAATAAATCAAAAAAATATTCTCATAAAATAGACAAGTTACCAAAAAATTAAAAAAAATTTTACTCAAGTTTGAGACATTTTACAGAAACGTTAACAAAACGTTTTTCTTTGGCATGGGAAAAAATTTCCCTATTTGACAAAAATGTAGTGTATACATAATATGCCAAAAGTGGACATTAGTATTTTAGTTGTTGTGTATGTGTGTGTATCGTCAGTAAAATTTTTGCTAAGGATCCTGTGTAAAGTGAAAGGAGAATCAAGGCAACTGCGAGAAAGTACTCTCTGTGCTTTATATCGAGCACTCTATCTGTCCGCATCTTGCCGAGTTGTTACGCATCACTTTTTATATGCTTCTCCATTCATGAAACTTAACACGCTAGACAATTATTGCGAGCTAATGTGACCAAAAAAAAATGTAAAAAGTAATAATTTCGTTTCGTTTTTAACACAAAGCATATTTTGAAGAAGAAAATAAAAACTGCGTACGCTTCGATACACATGATCAAATACTTTCTGCATGCAAAAATTTTCAATGTAACTTAATTCCTGTCATTTGATAGTTCCGATTTACATAATTTTTTTTAACTATACATTAAGAGTTGCAGTTACTTATTTTTTTTTAAAAATCAAACATTACATTATGCAAACAATACTTCCGGTCTCCTCTTTCAGGTTTATTGATTTTATTTGAAAATGTTCCTTGAGAACAATTATTTTAATCCTCTAAAATCTGTTTTTATTAACAAAAAATCATAGTTCCTGTAAGTTTCAATTTTTAGAATTATTTTATTATTTTTATTTTCAATTTTATAAAAATTGTTATTTTTAGAATATATACCAGAACCCAAATTTATGAATTGTTTTCATGATTTTTTTTTGAAACGCATGAATAATGCTTAAAATTAATTTGTGTGAATTTTTATTTGACAGAATTTCATTAGATAGAATTTTTTTAGCTGTAATTTTATTTATTTGAATTATTTTTTGACAAAATTTCCATTAAACTGATTTTCTATTTCACAGA